CAGTACAAATCGGCAATTTCATACTTTAACCCCTATTATTATAATAAGCTTACTTTAAGCTTACATTGAAATAAGATTGATTTTAGAAAGGTTATGATAGGCACCCTGGTAACTAAATGTATAGAGCAGTATTTTAATTTGCAGTAAAGCAACAATTGTTCTAATTGATAGGTACTATCTATTAACACTTAAAATATTGATATCACATTGCATAAATATTTATATCAGTGAAAACATATTAAATTTCTGATAATACCAATGACCCACAAATGTTGAATTGATTACGACAAACAGGATAATAAGATTGTGAGACCGATTACTATATCTAAAATATTCCGCTCAGCCGCATGAGTGAATACTCCATAAACACTCAAATATTGTTATCTCTGTTTGTATACAGTTATCGTTACAGTGCAGTAACTACTATTTACTTTTACTCTTTGACAGGCTATTAGTATAAGTACAGAATATATTTAACTTGCCTGAAACCAGTGTACATATAGATGCCTAGTACAATTTTCAAGTATACCATGAAACAAAAATTGTACTCACTCGCTAGTTTCCTTCGATTTTTCTACATGTTTCTTTATGTCGGCGAGGGAAGAGTCCAGTCTATTGAGGAAATCATCGAAAGACTTCTTCTCGTCCGGACTACCCGGAGAAAAGTCTCTCGTAGGCATGCCAGCGATGGACGCGCGGTGACTGGGTGCTGGAAGCTCCATTACACGTTCAGCATTCTCGTAGAAAGGAGAATCTTTCGTCACAGGGATCAACAAATATTCTCTCAAAAATAAACTGTCCGAAGCGAACAAACGATTCGCCCTCCTAATTTTCTCCATCTGCAAGCAACAAAGACCGCGAACGCTCCATCATCCATTCAAAAGATTAAAATATAAACGAGATAATAACACTTTTATTGTGATGGATGACCACTTACAGTTACACCATACTTTAGGGCGAGCCCCTGCAACGTATCACCTTTTGATATCACATGTTTGATGTATTCTTCGTTCCTCTTCATATGGTTGCACGTACTACCATACTTTTTAAGAGGACGAGCAGATTCTCGAATAGAAACTCTCTCATCAAAGAGACGTTCCTCCTCCATTTTTGACGTAAGTAAACCAACGAAAATGAAAGAAATGACATTTGCCTAACTGACAACTATGAACATAGCTGCAAATTGCGAATACGTTCGGATACACTTTTTTCTGCTAAGTCGGAACTTACGTCTATTCAACACTAGGTGGCAGTGCTGAACTCTACGAACAAGTAGAACTACTAAACGATAGATGGCGGAGTAAACAATTTTAATAAGTAATACCGTATTTCCAACATAGAGGGCAGCACTAGTATCAAGGATCATTCGTTCTATTGAAGGGTGGTGGGGAAATTGCTCGCCGCTCATTGATTGTTTCACATCCTTGTTTCGTTCACTCATTCGTTCAGTCTGCGGTTTTCGTCAAGCCGGAGTGGTAGTGTGGTGTTGTGAGTTTTGAAATCAAGTTGATAAATTATGATGAACTAAAGGTTCCACATCCGTTAATTCTTTAAATAACAAATGGCTTAGTTTGTCTATTAGGCGAAAAAAAAATTAATAACTTTATTGTGAAACTTTCTTTATTTGGTATTTAATATTTGTCTAGGAACACATGTTTTGATCGATACAATTTTATTGGCGACTTTTCCTTCGTTTTGAGGGTAAGTGTGAATGAAAGTTTCTTGGAATTATATTGCTTTATATTTCTTGTGTGATTTTGCGATCGACCTTGCGTTTTGAGCTGGATTCCGAATTCCCCAGTGAGGCGGCGGCGCGCACCCACCCTATGGCTAAAACATTATTGCGAGGGTTGCAGCAAGGCACCCGTGCACTCGCTACACTCGATCACTTTATTATTAGGGTAGAATTTTTAATTCTAATAATATAACGACGTATTTATATTTGGCCAAGGATTTAACTCCTGTAATTGAGACCAGCTGAGGAAAGACGTGCAGGGTTGCAGTTTTCAATTGTATACAAAAATATTGCGGTTTGTTTTTCTTTTTAAGACCTTGGACCGACTGAAGTGTATTTACGGCAATTTCATAGTATTTTCTCTCTATAAAAAATATAAATTGCATGCGCTAGTCGGAGGGAGGCTCGCTTTGCCTTTCCGCCCGGGAAAGCAGCTTATTTGCGGTTTTCTACCAACAGCTGATAACAGTAGATCGATCCTATTGAGCAAATTATTTATTTGTAATGTAAATTAAGTGATCAAAGATTTGCCAACACCTGGTTTATCCTAAATATTCTTACCGACCTAATGTTCGTCCAATTTGGCTAAATTTTAAATAAGGTAGGTACCTACCATCTAGCGAGTTCCTTTTCTCCAAAGCGTCGACACTTCCAAGATGATTTTTGTTTGACTTTCAAGGTTTCAAATCCTACAAGATAAATCCATGTGGCAAGACAATGTGACGGACACAACAAACATTCTATTTTGTAGTTCTCACAGGCTGTAATGCTAATGGTGTAACGTCATGATAATACTGTTACTTAATGATCTTTATTGTTCCTTCATATTAGAAATGACGAATCGCGTAAAATGTTTAGCAACGAACAATGTCTGTTTGACATAGTTGAAGTATGATTCCCTTAGCTCATTAAGATTTACGTACAGAAAGACAGAAAAATGCATAGGAATTCTCATGAGTCAGAAACCGGAACGCGTTCCGGCGAGAGTGAACTCGAGATCATTTTGTCATTATGATTATGAGTCATGACGTCTACATTCGACCTCCGAGGAAACCCTCTTGTTATCGCAACGCGTTTCTTAATAATCATGACTAATCTCTGCTCTATGTCTTATCACTCAAGGTTCAAATAAAGCTTTGTGGACTTATCGCTCAGGAATTATGCTGATGCCAACTATAGGGTAACATTGATTTAGATAACTCTTTAATTTTAATGCAGTAGTGTTAACGACAATACATGATATAATAATTTTGTAAATGTATCAGGTACCCACTGTGATGAATGGTGCCTAATTATTAATTTGTAAGCACCTCTACACAAACAATTAACGACGAATCGCGTAATTGTAACACAATAGCCGAATTACTTTCGTATAGGTAATCCGAAACTGGAGAACTATCCTTTTTATTGCCACCGGAGCAGAAGGGGAGCAGTCCGTCACTTGTCGTATAATGCCGTCGTAATCATAAGAACTAGAGTGACACTAAACAATTTTATTGCACGTAAGAAAATTGCTTCCACGAAAAGATATTCGACATGACCTGTACTAATTTTGCCTAACGAACTAAGGGTATCACATAATCCAAAGACTAAAGATGCGTCAAGTTCGCATTCGCCGATGTGTCGCATCGTTTCTGCGAAACTTTCCACAAAGACTGACTAACCCGCAACTTGGTGTTGAGTTACCAGCGCTGCTCGAGTAACGTGTCAGATTGACAAAACACAATGTCGATGTAAGGACTTATAGGTAGGTGAGTAGCTGCGACGGGTCCAGAACATTGAAACGGCAAAGCCTTGTGAAACTTAAAAAAAGCCCCTAACAAGAAAAAATACCTAATAATAATGCTTCTTCTTCTTGGGGTGCCATCTCCTATCGGAGATCGACTATCATTGTAGCAGTTTGAGTCCGTGAAGTTGCGGCTCGGAATAATTCTGTGGTACTTATGTTGAACCACTCTGCAAGATTTTGAAGGCATGTGGTTTTTCTACGACCACGTCTTCTGCGGCCCTGGAATTTTCCCTGCAGAATGAGCCGCAGTAGAGAGTATTTATTACTCCGCATGATGTGCCCGAAGTACTGCAGGTACCTCTTTTTTACTGTTTTTAGGAGCTCCAAGCCCTTGTGCATCCTTCACAATACGTTGTCATTGGTGACTCTATCCGTCCACGATATTCTCAAAATTCGCCGATAAGCTCACATTTCGAAGGCTTCTAACCGTTTACATAATCTCTAAGTTAGTGTGCATGCTTTTACTCCGTACAAAAAAAATTGAAAATATGTAGCACCACACTAAACAGCATCTTGTCGATAGTTTGAGACTACGATTGCAAAGGAGGTGGCAATAATAATGCAACAATTGCGAAAACCTTAGTTTTTCGCGATTATTACACCCGATTGTTGTTAACTTTATTCTTAAAATGTCTAATCACCCATATTGATTAATTATCACGGTATCTATTTATTACTACTTTAATAATCGAAAAGTTATCGTAAAAGTTATCGCTCTCTCTTAATTATCTAATTCAATAATATATCTCGCAATCAATTATACAGGTTAATGCAAAATTCTGTTAAAGGTCAGTACAAACCGTTACGGCAACAATAGGGCTGTATTGAACGCAACTCGGCCACCGCCCGCGGTCAGTACTGAAACCAAATTGCTGTTTATAAGCATCAAGAGATCTAATAAAACGCAACTTTAGGTTGAGAATGGCTGACAGATAAAATCGCAGAGCCGTAATAGGCGAGTGACGGCCTGGACACGACTATGACCCGGCCCGAGGCGGTGCCCTTACTATCACGAAGTGGAAGTCAGTTTGTGTCACATTTTATTACTCTTGTTTCGTGCTTTACTAGATGAGAATAAGCTTTACAGATCTAGTTTACCGAGACTGATTTGATGCCGAGATGTAACTAAATTAATTTCATTTTCTTGTCCTCGTGAGTTTTGTCCTTGTTTTCGTCTGTTTAGTGTAAAAAAAACCATTGCTATAAAACTTTGCTCGCATTCCCTACATTCTCAGTTTCTTTTATTCCCTTACTCGACTACCTCTTATGTTTATTTATTACATTTTATTCAAAAATTACAACTCGTTTTGTCTTTAAGTATTGAAGACAAAGCTCCCAATCTCAAAATTGAAGACTGGTGCCCTATAATTTACTGATGTTGCTACCAAATAAAGAGACAGCGACAGCTGCTCCGAGCCAACACAACAGGTGTGCACGCGCCTTATTTTTTTTTACACTTTTTTGTCTTTTAAAAGGATGCTCCGTCCCACTTTCTCGCGAGATAAAATTCAAAATGAGGCGTGAATAACAATCATTTGTTTTTACTCATACTGTGAGGCAATACTTTGTGGGTCTGTCCATATAGTTAATAGTTGGTTAATAAATCATCGCGGTAAATTGGTCGTTTTAACTGTGATTTGATAAGTGCCGCTTTAACGAGTTAATTACGTTTTTGCTGTTTGTGAAATTATTTATAATGATGCAAACATACGGCTGTTTTACACAAAAGTAAATGAAAAGCATCAGAAAATGGCAGTCCTTCTATAACTTGTTTAACTTACTATAATTGATGTATATTTTATTCAGCGTAGATACCTACTCCATCTTGTCGGTGCCCACGCCCCGTAGGCAGTTGAGACAGATTTTATATTTTTTTGCACAGTTCGCCATGCGACAGATATCGATTCGCAATTTACGAATGTCCGCAACCGTTCATATAAACTTCCTTTTTAAAATTAGTTAAACTGGCAAAGTAAATAATTGACATTTAGGGAATTTGTTTTAAAAGTTTATATTTTTTTGTTTCCTATGTATTATATTCATTAACTTTACTTTTTTTCACTTTGCTTTTATTTTCTGTTTTCTTTTTAAGTATATAAATACATAATACGAAAACAAATGTAACCGAGGCGAAAAACAGTCGAATTTGTACTTTGCCAGTCATCGGATTCCACTCAAGCGGTTGTAACATCTGGTGCCCATCTTCATTGTTGAATGTCCCTCTCGAGGACATCAAAGGAGGTTACGGCGAAGCGGACGACGATATAATAGCTTTTCCGTAAATTCTGGCATGGTACTGATACAAATTATAGTAAATATCCGCCGAAGGGGCTGCCTTTATTGAAGTTAATTCGTGTCTATTCCTGTAGCAATTTATTTGCAAAGGTAGTCGGAGGAACTTGCTTTGAGACGCTATTCACACCTGAGTAAATTATAACTTGGTGGTAAATAGTGTGTATCCTTTTGCAGAAAAGAGACCGTTTTCTCGAAGGCATAGTACAGAAATAGATTCAAATTCAGATCGCCCTTCTAAGTTCTGTTCTGCATACAATAATCTGGCCGTACAACTTTCGGCACTATGTTT